TGTGGGGGGGGGGCATGTCTAATGGGGAGGCACTGGTGATATTTTAATATGACCTCCTGCAAAAATGTTTCCTTGAAGCTGTGATAAATAGTGCAAAGTGCGTCTGCATGTACTAACCAACAGGAAAACCAAGTTGCTGAGGGACCTACACATTTGCTTTGCAACCTTTAAATATCTAGGAGCAATAATCTAAGGGGGTGGCTGTTAAGCACGTCACAAAAACATACTTGCTGCCCCTGTTTAGGCTCATGTTTTGTTTCTGCTGCTAATCTTAGAAAGCTGATGGTAAAAAGTAACAAGTCTTAAACCAAAGTGCTTAAAGGGAACTCAGTGGCCACGTCTAGTTTAAAATCTTTGGCGCTTGGTAAAACCTCATGTATTTCTGGAGGCAGAGGGATCTGTCCTGCGGCCAAATGCCTGTGCTCCCCCCAGGACGCCCTTCTGGGGAGAGACCATGGGTCAACACCACCTACGCAGTGCTTGAATCCCCACCAGGAGAAAGAAAACACTCTCCCACCTCCCTGCGGATTAGGAGTGGGGTTTTCAAGCCGGGCACATGCAGAGCTTCTGCGACACAGAGCTTACTCTGCTCCTGCAAGCACAGACTGCAACTTCTGTACGGCTCACGGACTGCAGCCAGGTAGGAAGTGAAGGGCAAGGCTTACAGTTGAAGGTCTGTTTTCCTTTCAGCTAGATACACCTCAGAGCCCAACCACAGTGTGACCTTTTAGGGGAAGAAAAACACCTCTTTTCTGTAATTCTGCAATGTAAATATAGTCATCACCGCAACACTTTTCGAGAATACAGCAAACAGACAAGTAGTACTGGTGTAAAGAAAAAATGGCCACAATAAAAATGCTGTTCTTACCCAGGTAAGGGTAGAGAAGAGGATTAGAAAACTGTAAGTGAACATAATAAAGGTAAGGTGTTGTCATTCTTAAGGGGAAGAAGGATCAAAGTGGAGGAATTTTAGATGCCCTCAGTGTCTTTTTTGCTGCCTCTCACGGCACTGACCCTTGCAGAAGCCCCAGAGGAGCCGTACAGCTTCCACTTGCGGGCTCTTGGCGCTGGGGAGCAGGGACACCTGACGTGGGGAGAGGCACACGAGACACCCCAGGGATTCCTCCGCCGTTCCCCCTCGGGAGGGCCAGAAGGACGCAGCCCCTACCTCCTCCATGGACTCCAGACCCTCGTCCTTGAGGGGCGTGGGAGATTCCCAGAGAGGAGCGCCACGGATCTGCCTCCTCAGATCCCTGGGGCAATCACATCAGAATCTCCTCCCTGCCAAAGCGAAGGGGTCCGTGCTGATTTACACCCACTTGCTCCCTGGGGCTGCTAATTTGATGCGCTTCTACGAAAATGTGTTAGACGGGAGCAGTTGGATGAGAACGGCTGTTGCTGTTGTCACTTGCAGCATATTTGCAGTTTTATTGGGAAAATGAGAACAGATGACCTGAAGTTACTTCAACGCATGCAGACTCAAGGCCTCATAATCAGAATGAGAGCCTGAGAAAACAAATATGAGATAGGTACACCTTTGGAAAAAAAAATGCCACATTTCATATTTACTTATTTTCTTTCTCTTGCAATACATGGCTCACAAGGAATGCTATCATGAATGAGGAGATTGTAACAAAAAGGTCACTTGGAATAGGGTGGAGAAGACTGATGACCTTTTGGTGACCCTGAGGTAAAAGGCAAATATCAGTTTTGTCATCTGTCTTGTAACCCCTTAATGGTCCATGGAAAGAAGACACTGCTTTTCAGCCTTCCCACTATACCGGACCATGGGAGTAGCTTCCTGGGCAACATTCATATTTTATCCTGCTTTACTTAATAATTGTGCCTTTAGGGCATACATGTTGTATCCTTTAGCGATACAACATCATTTGTTTTGTTTCTTTACGTGAATTGATAGGCATGAAAAGAGACAAACACTGAAATAACTATCCTTTGGTGGCTGAGCTGGTACAACACTTGAAGCTCCCCCACCCTCACTGCCAGTTTATTTAACCAAGACCTGAAGGGGTCAGCTCTAGGGACACAGGGAAAACATTTGGTCTTTCACCTCTGTGATGAAAGCATCAATAAGAAAATGAAAAAGCTGTGATGGCTGATTTGATACTCGTTTCCTAGGACCTGCTCTCAAATCTGTCTCATTTTATGCAGATACGCACGCTTCAGTCATTACCAATGTACACAACATTCAGGTGAGCACCTTGGAACGAAAATCTTAGCTAATCCCCAAATTTGTTAAACAAATCTCTCCCTCATATTTTGAATATGCCTTTTGCAAATATTACTTTCACTTGTGCTTTTCATCCACAGGGAGAAAGGAGGAAAGGATTTGTACCTTCAATATGAAAATTTTAAGGAAAATTATTTGAGAAAGTATTTTAATATAAGTGGATGGGACTTTCCTTTCCAGCTGGGATATGCTATTGATTTCACATTCCCTTTCTACTTTGATCAGTAAAGAACTGCATACTTACCGTAGAAAGTCAAATAGCCAAATATGGCAGTCATAAAGTACATCACAAACATGGCAAAAAATGAGATATTTGAAACCAACTGCATTTTTTTCTGTGAACGGCTGGAGAAAGAAGAAAAAAAGAACACATAAAAAATGGTTGGGCTGGATTTTTCAATAGCTGTTTAAAAATGTATTAAGTCTTTGCATAAACTTTGTAATTCTGGGGACACTTATGAATGCATTTTCATTTAAAATGGGAATTCATTGACAGCTGCACAGGGAAGGGAAGGACCAGGGAAACAGCCCTACTTGGGGCTTAAGTCAAGAAATGCTGGGTCTGCCCTGTGGCTCTGCTCCCCGGCCATACCCGCCTAGACAGAGTGAAGGGTGAAGCCAGCTGGAGAAGGATGGCCCCTGAACACTTGAGTAATTAAATTAAAAGGCTGAAATAAAGGAAGAGTAAAATTATATACTGGAAAAAAATACCCATTCTGAATGTTTGCAGAGAAACATTTGTGTCCCGCTGGGTAGAAAATAATGGATGTATGCAGACCACTGTCTGTGAAATAGTTTAGGTGTGAACATTTAACTTTCAGATATTTGTTCTGAAATATTCACAGTCTGGTACCTAAAGTTGGACTTTTAAATCTACACAGGGATGCCCTAAATAGGCACCTGGGAACCTGCTGGAGTCTCTTGAAACTCCAAACACCCAGCAAGTGTCTGGGATCTGAGGGCACCCACGCATCTGGGTGATCCCAACCTCTCCCCTGGGGCTCCCCCTGTGGCCTGGGACCCCCTTGCAGCCCCCCCGGGGCTGCCCGCGATGCTGCAGCAGGGA